TATATATATATATATATATGTTTACTGCCTGATGCTGTTTTATTCAGCGAGTCTTCACCCCAGCGTGGACTCTAATTCCTGATACACAACCGTTGGCGCACTCGGAAAGGAACGTGAAGAGAAACAAAATGGGGGCAGGTGAGGAGTCACGCACGTTCACACAGAGCAACAGAGAGAGAGAGAGAGAGAGAGAGAGAGAGAGAAAATGAGTGGAATCATACAGTAAATCGAAGGGCTGTTAAAGCCTGAGTGGCATCGGTCCCACCCACCTTGCAAGCCGCCCACCTACTGGTCTTTTATGAGGCATCCGCAAAGCCATCACAATCCTCGACAGAGGCCCGCCCGTTCTGCCAATAACAACAGAGCATCTAATTGTATGCCGGCTTCGACAAGCAAGCGCATCTCCTTTCTGACAAAAATGGAATCATCCTGCGAAGCGAATAATAAGCAACACACTGAATTCAACATTCTACTTCAGCAGCGTGAGTCTCTCGCGCAGCCGGTCGTGAGCAAGTCGTCACCATGGAAATGTGCGGAACTGCTTTTAGCTCGGGCTCGACGAGAAGTATCAAAAAAAGGAGCGGGTGACGTGACACATAAATGTATCTAACAGACATATTGAGAGCATATCGAACCAGCGTTGAATTAAAAGTGGTCCCCATCAATCATTGTATAATCTTTTGCATTCGCTGTAGAAATGACATCCCGCATCGGCCATTCGGGGCGAGATGCTCCTTCATCTTGTTCTGTGTCATACTGCAAGCCTTGTCAGAAGAAACAAACATTTAGATGTCTAATGGTGTGAGAACCGGTAGAAATGAGGCTTTCTTTCAGGATTTGAGGGCTAACATTTAAATATGTTCTGTGGACGTGAGGGATCAAATTGGACAGATTGCTTGAGAAGACAACCAACGCATGCAATGAATTTAATTTCAAATTTACAAAGGGAACTGTCTGGATACTGTTGTATGTTCAGGACTGGACAACCCATTGACAAATTACACTTGGAATGAAAAGACAACATTTTGGTCCCGCAATATGAGACAGAATTTGACAATAGCAAACATTGAGGACAGCTACAAGTACCTCGGTATACCACAAGCAAATGGCAACCTCGAACGATATATATACACGGTGTGTATATATATATATATATACACACACACACACAGTATATTTATGACATTGGAATACATTTAATACAAAATCCTCCTGAATTCTGTGGGGAAAAAGTCTCACATGGGCTGAAACTGTTGTTCTGTTGTTTGCAAAATAAGTCATTCCCATGCCACAATACAGAGTAAAAGCAGTAAAGCCTGAGGCCATTAAAAGCCAGTGCAAATGGCGTGTCGACTGCTGCATGTTTGACTGAAAAATAAAACATTAAAAGTAGCCGCTCTGCACGTTTAGCACTGTGAGTTGAGAATCGCGGCGTGGCGCTGCCGTCACCGCCTTTCCAAGTCGGTTGAGTGCTGATGAACATTTGCGCATTTCTGCATGCCTGAAGGATTTCCATTAACCACTTTGATTAAAGCAATCATGGGAGCCATCGGAGCCTGTCAGATGCCATCCCTGCCCTCTCAATTAACCGCATCGCATTGGACTCAATTGCTCAGATCAGGATGGCAAGCGTTTGGTGGGCAGACACTGAAGCATATGGAATGTGTCCACCTCCCCTGTGTTGAGGCCGGAATTAACTTAATTTTTATGCATACAGACAGTACGGCTGAGATGCTAGGAGACTTTACAAGCGCCCTTTAATATCTCATTGAGGTAAATTAACAATGGTCATATCTTTAAGACTGGATGCACACCAAATGGTTCAAGTGACCTCAGATATATATATTTTTTCTCACATGTAACCCAATTCAGATAAGCATGATAAGGGGGGGGGGGGGGTCTGCCACATGCCACAGATGAAATATACCAAATCTTGACATGCTGCAAGTCATAGAAATGTACAAATAGAATACATGGTGGTGCAAATGGGTCAACGACATGCGGATTTTTCTGTCTGGGTCCCAAAAACTTTTATTCTACACAACCTATTTATTTTCATGCATGTTTCGGTAAAGTCAAGTGATTACATTCACCAACGTTTGGGCTTCTAAGGCCCAAAGATGTCAGGTGGTGCAACTGTGAGCAAACTTAGAAACTGTTCAAATATTATTTTGATCATGATCGTGAAAATAATACGGAAGAGGATTAGGGCCAATGAAGGAAAAAAAAAATTAAAACACCCAGCATCATTTTCATTTGAAGGTTTTTTTTTTTGTTTTTGTTTTTGTTTTTTTTTTAACGTGAATAGTTTCAAAGCAGTCAAAACAATGAAATCCAAACTTTTTGTCCAGCATATTTGATGTTCTAAATGTCAGGGTAGCACAACCATAAACACTTTTTGAACTAAAGAAACAATAGCTGTAAACAGGATGTTGTATCAGCTAGAGACCGTCAGGAGTAAGCTAAAAGGTTTGTACTGTAGAGCTCAGTAAAATACTGAATTAAAAAAAACAAACAAACAAAAAACATTCAGATGTAAGCTTTTACACTTTCAATGTCAGGTGGTACAAAAGAAAATGAGAAAAAAATGTATTTGATGATACAACTCTTTGTTTTAAAGTTGACGTAAACCCCAAAAATGTTCTTTGCAAAAATATGTTCTTTTTGCCCCCACTATTCTAAACACGGCATTCTGATTAACAGTGCGTTTGGGGTGTATGAATTTCAAGTTCAAATCCATCCGTTTATTTTTCCAGCTCTGGGGTGGCCATTTTGCCACATCCTGTTAGACTGCAAATAACATCACAGTTACTCAGGTAACAAAAAAACACAGCTCACATATTTTCAGTTGAGTCATGAGACACTCTTTCTGAGTTTGATCATTTGACATCCAAAAGAAACCAGTTTAATTTGAGGTTAGTTGCCAAAGTCATGTGGTGCAACCAGTTAGTCAGATAAGAGCAGTGGGCCATAAGTTTAGCGCTATTCAAAGCTCTATGACGATCCATCAAACTTGTACATTGTTTGCTAATTTTGAATGTCCAGATATTACACACTTTGAAACATTTTAAGTGACAATTTCTACATTTTAGACGCCTCTCTCAACTGAAGAAAAATCAAAATCGGCATGAGACAGGGCACGCACTAACAATGATCCAGCTGCAAGGGAAGCTTATCGTGCAAAAAGTAAAGAGAGGTCAGAGAAAAGGAAGAAATAATCGCTTCTCTGCAATGACTACGCCCCTGACTCAAGAAGGGAGCAAACTCTTCGAGACCTGAGTAACAAGTTAGTTAGTCATCGTGACCTATGATGAGCTGCCATGTGTGGGCCAGATCTCCCAACTTGTTTGGGCGGAAGATCACATTATGTCCATGGTGCACTTGAGTGAAAAGAACTTGTTCACGTGGCCACAAACCGATATCATTTACGATGATAAGGGAGAGGTTCTGTTCATAGAAGTCATGCTCTTTGTAATTGCAGAACCCGAGCCAGCAACGTTAAACTGGTCTGAGTTGAGTCGCCCAGATTGGGCAAGGGGTGGGAGGAATCCATCAGGTTACTGGTAATTAGGTGATAAACTATTAATTCATGTCCTCATCGAATACGTAAAAGAAATATTTGCAGTGGTTAACCCCTAATACATTTTGACTATTGCAAAACCCGAGGCAGCAAACTGGCGGTTCAAAGTTGAGCAGCGCAGGCTCAGCAAATTTAAAAAACTTCCGTTGTCAGAGGAACCTCTTCAGGAAACGTTAATGATCATTTCAACAAAAATGTAAAAAATGTGTTCAGTAAAAAATCAAGTTTCTTTTTAATATGATCAATTTTGAATGTGTTCGAAATTTCCTTAAGATAATCAAAAACCATTCAAACCTCTGCCGATCGTTTGGTGAACATTTGTAACTTTGAACGAACCCTGATGGTAACTCAACATTTTCTCTCATCGCAAACACATTGGTCCCTCAGTGCGATACGGGCTTCATTTGTCATTGACCCATACACAAAAATGTTTGTCAAAGAAAAAAAACTACAGTGAATGCTTGGATGTGCAGAAGATATGGAATATGTAAATGATATTGATCGTTGTTGATTTTATCTGCATTTTGAGTTGTTTCTAATGTTACATTAAAGCAAAATATAATTTTTTACAGGGAGTTTTAATAGTTCCATGAAGCTGTCAGACAGGCTACATTCATACTGCATGAAGTGACGCTCACGTCCAATATTTTTGTTAAATCCCCGTTGTTTTTTTTTTTTTTTTTTTTATGTTCTTCACATTACAAAAAAAAAAAAAAACACAACCATCCTCCGATGTTAACTGAACGTGTCCCTCAAGTGACACAAATGCGATGTCGAGTGGCTCATGGAAGAGGACGACACGTGGCAGTGTTTCACTGAAATGAATATCAGCCAACGTGTAGGGGCTCATTTTTATCACCGTACGTCAACAGAGGAATAATGCGGGAAGTGGTGCAATTATTTTGGGAAAAAGAAGGGACGCTTTTCTGTCTCTTCATTTCATGGAGACGTCCAATTAAAATGGCGTTCCGTAACGGGGACGTCTACTAAAGATGATGTCACGTTATTGCATAATAAATGAATTGCCTGTGTGGTTGAATTATCCATCCATTATCTGAGCTGCTTATCTTCATGAGGGCCGTGGGCATGGGGGAGCCTATCCTAGCTGTCTTCAGGCAGTAGGCGGGGGACACCCTGAACTGGTTGCCAGCTGATCACAGGACACACGGAGACAAACAACCATTCACGCTCACACTCACACCTAGGGACAATTTCCATTCACCTGCCATGCATGTTTTTGGAATGTGGGAGGAAATCGGTACACCCGGAGATAACCCACACGGGCGCGGGGAAAACATGCAAACTCCACACAGGAAAACGCAGCCGGAATCGAACCCTGCCCCTCTGCACTGTGAGGCTAACTATTTGACCACCGTGTCACCCGTTGTGGTTGAAGTACATTTGTTATGAAAGCAGTATGTTTACAATATCCAGGACAAGTGGTTCATTTACTCTTTAAATGTTAACCCATATAAAAACACATAGTTTGGTGAAATGTTTTGCACTTTACAAGCAATGAAATTTAAATATATTATTTCTATTATTATTAAATATGCCCAAGAGGGACAAAGAGAATATTTATGTTGGTTATTTTATAACCACAATGTTCCACAGATAATTTCCGAAAATAATTCTTACTTCATCAGAACGTTAATTTGCTTTATAGTGTGTCATTTTAGGTCATTATTTAATGCCCGCAGAAAACCAACTTTCAAGCCGCAGATTGAAGATTTGCTTTCCGCAGTATCAGGATTGTTCTCAATCAACACTTACCCTGCAAATTCCTGGTGGGTTAACTAATGAAACTTTGATGTGCACTTGTTAGGCACATGTCACACACACACGCACACGCACACACACACACACACACACACACACACACACACACACACACACACACACAACGTAACCTACCAGCATGATGCACTACAACATGTGGACCAAGCAGGTCCGACCGCTCAGATGCATCTGAGGCAGCAAATTTAGCCCTGTATCTGTGTGCAGCTTCAAGCTGATTCGTTTACCATAAACACAAGCACCTGCCAAAAAATACTGAGTTATAATTAGCCTGGAATTTTCACAGTGTTGCAACATGACTGGCTCCGAGTTCAAGCGTCAAAGCCAATACGGCTCGTGTGAAATGGTTCCAAAAAGTAAAGCATCGTAATGTTAAAAAAAGGGTTGTTTCTTCACACTTGTTGTGACTTCAAGAGTCACAGCAGGTGTTTTCTGGTGTTCCAGTGTTGTTTTAAAGAGCTAACTTTGTCGTCATTGGCACATAAGACATGCTTTGCATTGCTGAGCTCTTATTTTGCACGAGGCAACACTTTCACATATTTCACTGCAGGCAATGTTTTCTTCAAGGGGATTAAGTGTTTTTCATATTAAAAAAAAAAAAAAAGTCTTACTCTTTTGTCGTTATTCTTAAACCATTCGAACCACTGACTACATTGGAGAGCAGCACAACAGAACGGCGAAACACACTCAAAGCTTTTGAGAGATTAATGGAAGGGAATCATATAACCGGCTTTTGTGCCGCCATTTATGTTAAGACCTAAAAAGCCCATTGACTGATTAAAAGCATTATTTTAACGGGCAGGACTCAACACACACACACACACACACACACACACACACACACACACACACACACACACACACACACAGGCAGATACTCACAGGCTACTTGCATTGTCCCAACAACTGTCGAAAGGTCGCTTGTTCATAACAGTGATAAAGCTCAACTTTCAGGCTGGCGCATACTTGCACACACTTACAGATTATGTCAAATGTTCCTTCCTTTTTACATTTCGTCCTCTCCCAGATTCTAGGATTGTCAAATCTAAAAGGTTTTTTACCCCTGTAATATTTTGAACGGCATCCATTAGTTTTGTCAGGATTGGCACGTTAGCAAAAAGAAATTGTCCATAGACAATAATGCTTCCATATCAGAATATGTCAACTATAATTATCTCAAAGGCTAAAATACGCACAGAGACATGCAAAAACACATACGAACACGATCACACACGCGCGGACACACACACACACACACACACACACACACACACACACACACACACCACACACACACACACACACACACACACACACACACACACACACACACTCATCCTGGCTATGATTCACTGCCCCTGCTTACACGTCTGTGACATGTCCACAGTTGCACTCAGTTCCAGGACTCCTCATCTCCCAAATGGTGCCTTCTGCTCTCTTCGGCTTTTTCATGAAACGATGGCGACTAATTTGCTCCACAAAGGTGACCACATTGAAACAGAGAAAAACTGACATTCAAAGAAATAGCCCAAAGGATTCCAATCATTTCAGCTTGTCACATTCGTATGCTGAATTTCGATAAACCTTCCAGAGTATATTTAAGTGGGTCAACTATTGAGGTAGTTTTTTTTTTTTTTCCAAAAGCCACATGCTCTTTACTCATTAAATTCAAATCGTGTACACTGTAAAAGCATCCAATTCTGAATCCAGAGGCAGTTTATTCTTATTGGGATTTACTTAAAAGAATAAAAACAAGCAAAAAAAAAAAAACCTTTAACATCTGCGCCAATAAACTTGCCATGCTCTTGAGTATCAAGCTTGATATCAAAGTTATATCAAAGTTTTGCTCCAGACTTCAACCAACCCGTATATCGGTAATATAGGGAAAAAGAGTGTGATGAATATCTACTTAATCTTCTACTTGTGCCTCTAAAATTTCAGATTAGGGGCCACTCTGCTCCTAGTAAAAAAAATAAAAAAAAGTTAGTCCAGATCCCTGCCATTTACATTTGGTCATTGGATTATTTGATCATGAACAGTATCTTGACTCTCACTCCAGTTCCACACTTGACAATGGCAGTATTTACATTAACAGTAATATTCCAGTGTGGGACTTTAGTGTGGGAGTACACTTGGCTGTCGCAAGAAATAATTTCCTCAAAGCAGGATTTTTTTTTTTTTTTTTTGTCACCTTGGTGGTTGTCTTTTCTGCTTGGGAATTTTTCGGGACCCTTTTGTGTACATGGGGCTGGTAAAAATTGTTACTCTCAAAGTACGTGTGGCCCTTTTGGCAACCGAGTGAACCCTTGCCCAACCCCCAGTTCGTCATACGATCACCAACAGTCGTGCACTGCACATGTCATGAGAACCGACATCATGTTTATTTGATGACAACAACATAGTTTGGTCAATATAGTGCAAGAAGTGCAAAGCAATCCAAAACATAAGACTCGATCAGGGATAGAGATTCTGCCAACGCTTGTATAAAAATAGGTGTTACATAGATTAAAATAGCAACATTACACAACAAAATCAAAACTTCAAATATCATTGAGGATGTTTTGTTTCAATAAATCTATATATTAAGAATCGATACCCCAATTCATTTTTAATATAATAATCTTTTATATGAGAGCTTGTGAACTTGCCTTCTAATTCCCCAAAAGTGCTGAACGCATACAAACATAATTTTTTTTGTTCTTCTTCCTCAGCAATTGGCACAGTCTCTTTTTTTTTTTTTTTTGTATTCGGGGTGTGCCACTTCCCTCAAAACTAGAAAGCCACTTTACAATGCCAAGCTACAAGAAATGAAACTACGAAACAAAAGCCTTTTTTTTTCTTGCTCCTGAAAATGGTGATGTATGATGACACAGGTAATGTCGATGTAGAATCAAAAGTTTGATATTGAAAAGACATGGTAGATTATATCAATAAATACTTACGGTACTTACAGACTACAGCAGGAAATAATCCTACACAGTTTTATCATCTGCTGTACAGTGTGTTTTGTTTTCTGTTATTGTTGTTTTGTCCAGGGGTGATTGTATCAACATTTTTTTTTTTCTTTTCTGACAATATACCATATGCACGGTTATATTCCTGAATTTGAAGCGGGACTTATGTATACACTTCAAATTTGTGATCATTGCTATATAAAAATAAAAATTGCATCGTTAGTTAGCAATTGTGTTCATCCCCCATTCTGATAGTGTCCAAGTTGAACCAATAAGAAGAAGATTGTTCGGCACACCCCGCAGGACTCAACCAGTTTCCTCCTGCTTGTCTTTGTGCCAAGGCACCCAAGAAAGTTTCCCGATGGGGTAAAATGGGACAAAATGCTCCATGGAATAAATGACTGTGTGGTTCAGAACTGGCTGAAGGTGGTCTGTTTCTCGAGAACTTCGAGGTAATCAGGCTCAGACTGCAGTTTTGCTTTTAGCTCCAAGTATTCGTTTCTGTTGGGTTCCACATAAACAGTACTGGGTGAGGTGCCGTAGAGCACCGTTTCTCTGATCCTGTCCGGGTGCAAGAACTGACGCCTGACATCAAAATTAGGGTTGTAGGTATATGACACTGGGCCGGTGTACTTGTACTCTAAACTCGCACCCACTGGGAGGGATGAGATGGACTGATGAGGGGACTGCTTATTGGCCTCAAGGATGCCCCGAAAGAAATGGTCCGCATCCTGGACCGGGGAGGGGTTGTCCATTGGTTCAATAGTGCTAACGCTGTACGCGGGGCTCCTCAACATGCTGCGATTCCTCTCCTCATCTGGGGTACTTCTGTAAGTCACCTTGAGCTCGTGAAGGTCACGGTAATCCTCCACCGCATTTCCTTCCCTTGATCTGTAGATGGGGTTTTTGCACATGTGACCCATCGGATGTGGGATGTATTCATAGACGTGACCGGCCGGTGCCTTCGCTTTGGTGCCTGAGCGGTTGCTGTAGAGGCTGTACTGCAAGTTGAAGGAGCTGACGTCAGAGTTGTTGGTGCTGGTGCGGTCACTCTGGGATTTTTTGCGCTTCTTCATCACCACAACAAAGAGACCCGCGGCCACAAAAACTGACATTATGAAGACAAGCAAGAGGCTCAGGATGAGGACGGACAAAGGGACAGTGCTGCTGGAGGAGTTGAACCTGTGTGGGGTATCCGTGGGGATGACCCGGTCATCTAACGGCTCCTCGGTCTGGGGGGTCGGTGAGACGTACGTATCAGAGTGGTCGGGGCACAGCTGCTCCGACGAGATGGAGCGAAGGTCCATTTTTGTGTGCCGTTTGGGTGTCTCGCATATGATCTCATTGACCACTGTGCCTGCACTGAGCTGCTCAAGCCATATTTTCATACCCACGATATCGCAGGAGCAGTCCCAGGGGTTTTCAAAGAGATCTATCTGCACCAGTAGCTTCAGCTGATCCAAAACACCACTTACAGGCAGGTTTTGGAAACGGTTGTTGCGCAGATTAAGTCGAGACAGGGAGAGGCTGGAAAAAACGCCCAAAGGTAATGTTTTCAGGAGATTGTTATTGAGAAACAGCAGCTGGAGATTGGTCAGGTAACGAAATGTGCCCGCATCAACCTCCTTGATTTTATTGTACTCTAAATAAAGATATTGCAAGTTCTGCAACCCAAAAAACATTTCCCCCGTCAGCCTGTCCATGAGATTACCATTTAAATACAGCCTACGCAGATTTGTTAAATCCCCAAAAGCCCTGTCATGGATCACAGTTATCCTGTTGTTTCCCAGGTGAAGCAAATCCAATCCAACGGCGTCGACAAAATCTGATCTTCGTACCACGGGGATATAATTTCCAGTGAGATACATTTTTTTCGGATTGTATGGCTTGGGTTTTAGGTCAGAGATACTTTCGATCTTTCTCTCTTGGCAATTTACATTCAGTCCAATTTCAGATATCTGCAGGTTGCACGTGCAGGCCGTGGGGCAGTCCAAAGGCACAGGCGATTTGGTCTGAAAAGCAATGATGGGGCCATAGTTGTAAGGGCTACCGCCTGGGAGTCGAGAGGTGGGCTTTAACCTAGTACGGTTAAATTGACGACTGCCCTTGGTTGGTCTGGAAGAGGACCGAAAGACAGCAGATGAGGTGGCCGAGGCTGTGACAGCGGCCGGTGTGGTATGGTAATATCCGTTGGTGCTGCTGGGGGGCGCGGGCCTTACCGTGTCCTCTTGTGGCCTCCTCGGGCATAGTTCCTGCTTGGACACCTCATCCAGGTCCCTCCCGTGGAGCCTGAAGGGTGTCTCGCACACCACTTCTCCCACCAGCGCCGTGTAGGCGATACTCTCCAGCCAGGCCTTCAAAGCAATCAGCTCGCATGAGCAGTTCCATGGATTCTCTTCCAGCTGTAATTCCACAACCTTGTCCATGTGCTCTAGGAGGCCAACGTACGGAAACATTTTTAACAGGTTCCCTCGCAGGTCCAAATGCGTAAGGGGGACATTGCGAAAGATGTTGGGGGGCAGGAAAGCCAGCAGGTTGTCATTCAGAATCATCACCGTCAGTTGGTGCAGTTTGCTCAAGGTGTTGGGCTCAATGTTGCTGATGTAATTGTAATCGATTTGGAGATATTCCAAACTCTCCAGTCCTGCAAACGTATCATCTCTCAAAATGTCAATTTTGTTGTTATTCAGGTGCAACCTCTTTAATCCCTGGAGTCCGTTGAAGGCACCTGTTTCTATCTCTGAGATGTCATTGTTCCCCAAGTGCAGGATGGTCACTCCGGTGTAATTGATGAAATCATTGGCCGACAGTTTTTTCAGCAGGTTTCCCGTCAGCAGGAGGTGGTACGTGGAGAACTGAACCGGGCTGATCTCCGTCACTCTGATGATTCCGCGGTTCTCGCAGCTGACGGTGAGGATGCTTTCCTTCTCCTCACATGTGCACAGGTTGCGGCAGATTTCCCCGTAATTGTCATACATCTCGCCCAGCCTCAGAGATGATGCAATCACAAGGATTATATTCAGGGCCCAGAAATGCATGTTTCCTGGGAGAAGGTGCCCCAGCTCACTCAAGTGCGGTGTCAGTATGACGTGTCATCTGGGGAGGGAAAGAGAAAGGATGGGTGCTGTTTTACACAGGTACGACTGCCACGCTTAAAAGCACAAGTTGGCCAAAAGACATGTCGATGACCAGAATTTGAATAAGCAAGCCTCAGCAGGCCTTCAAACGGCAGCTAATTGTGTCCTTTCATTTTAACGGTACCAGGAAAAAAAAAAAAAAAGGATATAAAGCACAGAACAGATACACAATTTCAACACACAGACATTATATAAAAAAAGAACATCAAAACGTGTGCTACATTGTGCATTTCTCAAGAAACTAGCAGAGAGGAGGACACAATAACACATAAGCTAAAATATCACAGGTTACGACACAGAGAAAAAAAAAGTTACTGCTTTTTGGTTGTACATAATTAAAATATGTTAAAATTACAAGATGTCATTTGTTTATGGGGTGGGGGGCATGGGAAAATTACTCATTTACCACATTTTAATCATGTGCAACCGATGTACATGTTCGAATTAAGTGAATCCAAAGGATCTTTTTTTTTTTTCCGGTGTGGACGAGTACTTGTCTGATGATCTATCCATCCAGACATGGATATTTATGATTATAAAAATACAATATATTATTTGATTTTTCAAACAAACACCGCAGCCCACCCATCCCATCGCCAAAAGATTTATCACTCAGCCCACATACCAGACATCAGGAGGGTTGGGGGCTCAACATAAAATAAATTGTGCTCCCATGACCGGATAGCCAGGGGTGATTAGCTAAAAAAGAAAAAAAAAAAGAAAAAAAAGGATAAAAACACCTAGAGATGGAACCGTCACCAGCCGTTTGGTATTGGTCAATTAAAAGGCTAATCATTTGATCCCACTGCATTTTATTAAGGGGGTACATTTTCCAATCATGTTACATATCTGGCATTTTCTTTAAGAAGCCTAGATAGTTTCCCTCTCTTTTTAGCCTTCGCCACACACACACACGCGCGCGCACACACACACTTACGCGAGCGCGCGCGCGCGCGCACACACACGCGCACACACACACACACACACACACACACACACACACACACACACACACACACACACAGACACACACACACACACACACACACACACACACACACACACACACACACACACACACACTATTCCTACCCCTCCTTAAGAGACCACGAAAGCTTACGCACCGACGCAGCAAACATGCCCAAATCTGCTCCGTCTATAACACACCAGCAACATGCACTTGGTTTTTATGTGCTACCCGTCGACGAGGACTTTATATGCAATGAATCTTGACGTCCTTGTGCATTCTGCGCGCGTATGCACGAACGTTTGCGTGTATGATTTGCAATGCGTAAATCTGCCGTGGGCAAAGCACAGAGACTCGTTTTTTTCTTTGGCACACACCTACATAAATACAGAAATGAACTTCACTGACGTCAAAAGCATTTCAGAACCATGGATAGAGCAGGCTTTTTCTGGAGCGTATGTCTGGTCGCGTTAATGATGATCCGCTTACCGTGCAGATGACTGTAAACGCCAACGCATCCCGCAACACCAACAAAAATGAAAATGAAAAACACATCACGCCCAAAGCCCTTCTTCGGGCTCCGGTCTTGGTGCAAACATGGATTTTGGTCCACCCCGGTGTCTGTCGGCTGCAGGAGAATCCTTAAGATTCAAGTCTCCTCTGCGTTTAGCTCCATAACACAGTCTCATTGACGAGTCAGCTGGCGCGCCAATATTGGCTCCAGTCTTCTTCCAGCAAATGAATTTAGCGGTGTCATTTCAAAGAAAGCCACAGCTAAAGTTGGGAGACAAAACAAAACAAACAAAAAAAGGATGTCGCTTGGGGGGGAAATGAAGGAAGAAAGGGGCTTCGGGGAATACACAGTAATCCCAGGTTCGAGGAGACCAGCGCCGTGACTTTCATTCATGTGCACGCAGGGAGAAGCACGAATCTCCCCCCCTCCCTCTTCTCTTCCCTTTCTCCGCGTCTGCTGCCACTGGTGCTGCGGCGTGCACCAGCCCGTGTCTTGGTGTGCACTTTTCCCCTCTCACGCCAAGAAGGCGTCTAATTCAGTGCATGTGGCCGTGTAAGAATGCGCAAATCCTCTTCCTCCAGCGGCGGGAACACATCAAGCTCCTCGGCAAAACGTTGCAACTAGTGGAACTTGATGGTGGTTGGTTGGTTGGTTGGTTGGTTGGTTGGTTGGCGCACACTGGTGGTGCTCATCAACATCTAAAGCGCCAAACGCTTCATGGAACAATTACCGTCGTGCGGCTGCACCAAAGGCATAAATCCTCCACTTCGCACGGCTGCCATTGCAAGGGAATGAAAAGCGATTTAATGCAATAGTCTATAAGGGGGTACGTTGGAGGAGGAGGCGAGATACTGGGGAAGGGAGGGAGAAAGTTAAGGAAGGGGCGTCTCAAAGACGGCCCATAGGGGGCGGTACAGTGATGAAGAAAAAAAATCCCCGTGCCTTTTGGTGTTAAAATTAGCTTGCTTTAACGCAGTGTTTGCTTCTTAATTTCTTTCCCAGCTGCAGCCCCAGCTTTTATAGGCCATGCATGCCTCATTTTGCAGACAGTAATTCTGTAAATTATTTGGTTCAGGAAAGAACGGAAGAGGGCAGCCCGGTGGCAATTCACAGCAAAGAGGTTCAGGGTGCAAAACTCACTTAAGGCCTTTTCAGTATGGTGTCAAGTGTGCATGTATTCCAGTTACGCCTCAAGCCAACTTCATACGCCCAACTTCACCGAGTTCAAAGTCTTGTATTTCAGGATTATTGTTATTATTATTATTAAGATGTTTATTGTCTCTAATTGCAGGGGGGACTTTTGATTTGAACTTCAGAATTCATAAACCCCGAGAAAGAATATTAAACATATACTAGCACAATGCCGTTTATAGATTGAAAAATACGTTTTAATATTGAGAAAAAAAATTCTAATGGGCTGGAAAGCCAAAATGGTTGGTGGATTGTGGAATCAGTTGCATGCAAACATAGTGAAGACAGTGAATTGTTTTTTTCAGCTCGTGAAACATCAGTTCAGTTGTGTCCACATTACATTATTAATTTAAAATAAGCATAATTAGATCTGTCTGTATTGTTCTTTAAAATCGTTCAAAATACATGATTAAATAATTTTAATTACACTGGAACAGTTTTAGTCTGAGGACAGTCCATCGCCTAATAAAACCTGAGGTATAGGAAATACTCATCATAATGTCATCAATAATTCACCATTGTTACTCAATTTTTATTCCTCTTTTGCATGTGGGTGTGATAGCTAAATTCCCTATTTTACTATTGATTGCCCATTAAGGCAGGATTTACACTACACATTTCAAGTGCCACAGTTCTAATTTTATGCTCTCAAGTGGCACAAAGTGCAAAGTTGGACATTCTTGGATCACAATAAGGCCCCTTGCAAATGTGGGAGGAATCAGATTCGGATCACATATCTATCTATGCAACTGCATCCTAAACTGCATAACTTCTCACAACATGATTTTCTCACAGGAGTGTATTTATTTTATTTTCCATCATCCATCTGCATAGCCGAACGTGAACTTTGACGAGTCAACATAACAATGGTGTCCTATACAGTTCAGCCATCCCTGGGCTCCAACCCACATAGCACCATCCTCATCTGTTGCAAACTCAGCATACTAGCCGCTAGGCTAAAAGCCTGGTTTGCCAGGGTCGTGAGGTTCACCAATATACTCGGACAGCATTCGCTAGGCTCCGCTACACTAACGTCCAATTTGACATCAAAGAAGTGAGCCAGCGCTGGGTCGAGAAAATAACCATTTGTGTTCCTCTTCTCTTAACAAGGATGACACCAAATGCTCGGATTACCACACACTTACAAGAGATATGCTTTGAAAGAAGCACATTTTCTGAAGGATTATGCTGAATCCATTTTTGCATCAAATCTCACTTGCAATGCTGAGAAGCACGACCAAAGTGCAGCTTATTTGTCCCGTGGTGTTACCCTTTTTGGTGCAGTCCAAGAAATGCTAACACACTTAACAAGAACCGTAGAGGAAAATCAAATTAAAGCAAGCATATGGTGGCCCACCATGTCCAAGAGATTTCCCACTTAGTCGGTATTGTGTGGAAATAAGTCAACTCTTCTGGCCTTTTTTTAGCATGTGGCAATAAGCGGATGCGGCTTACTATATGCCGCCTCTCAGAAATTAGCCATGTAGATGCATGGATTTATCTTAAAGTCTTTGGCACTGTAATCGTATTAGGAGTGCACTATCCCGTGGCAACGGGCAGGCCCGAATTCTCTCTGGGATACCACAACAAAGAACTTGATGCAGCAGGGTTCTTGCCCCGGTCTCACTCGGCACGCAAACATTGTATATCTATGTGCATGTGTTTAAAGATTTGCAGCAGCATGACTTAATAAAAGCTAATAGGTTCATGCAAACGCCAACGCTATTATCATAAATCGACTGCATAAAGCATCGTATGATAATTAGGTCTGGGGTTAAGTCATTAATGCAAATGAAGGTTCACGCTAAATTTAACTAAATTATCGTTTGCGTGAACCCCACTTGATGTTTTATTTTTATAAATGTTATGGCACTGTAGTTATTCATGTAGTTTGTCTGAAAAAGATGGAAAGTAGTTGCATAACATCTATTACATAATATCATTACTTATATTACTTACTTATATAGTATAATACTTAAAATATGATTATTGCTACTCCTCCCCGAACTGCCTGCCCCCTTGTAGGTGGGGTACTCCAATTGGGACATATTCCCCTTGAGGAAGACCCGCTTCTGAAAGTTGGCTCTGGCCAAAGCGGCCCTCTTCGGCCTGAGGATGTCACCAGCTGTGCTGAATATTACCTTCAAGGCAGTGGAGCAAGGAAGGAAGGGGGTGTTGTACAAGTCAACCCACGCCTCCCTGTGCTCCTAGGGGAAGAAGCTCAGGCTTCCAGTCCTGGATGCCGGCCCTCAACACCGCAGAAGTAGAGAGCGCGTGACAGACAACATCTCATTTCGAAAACCATCCGGCTACTGCCATGACAACACAGTCATGCAGACATTTCTGTAGTGTGGATGGGGCTAATGCGCCAACTCACCAACGTGTGCTGCAAAACATTATTTGCCAAAGGTTGTCCTTACGTTTTGGGTTCATGTAAAAAAAAAAAAAAAAAAAAAAATCACCTCTGTCTGCGCTTAGTTCCGTCAGTGTATCAAAGTTTCTGTCGGTCATCTGCCCATTACTGAAATGGGAGTCCATTAGTGACGGACTGACGGGCTGACACTCGTTGTGCCCTGCAAATGCCTATCGACCTGTTTCGGATGCACCCTGCCTCTTGCCCAAAATTCACTGTGATAGGCTCCAGCACACCCCACAACCCTACTGAAGATAACTCATACAAAGAATGCATGGATGATAATAATCATTATTATTGTAATTACGGAGTCCTAACAGGCCTTTTTAGTCAGTGGGACTCTGGAGGCAGGTGATGAGAAATGGCACGCCAAGCGTAACGCAGCTGAGGGAAAACCACGGGCATGGGAGCAATTCGGGTAGGTTCTGGAGAACGTCTTCCAGATGGCTTCAAGGAAATTCTGGTCCACCATCCGGCATCTCAGGAGGGTGAGGCATTGCACCATTGGCACTGTGTATAGTATAGATGTGCTGCTGCATTGGTCCTCATTGACAAATAAATGCGTAGTTACATACTCCCATAGACAGATTTGCCAAATTTGACCAGCACTGAACAAAAACATATCCGCAATTTCCTACACAGGGTATGGCTCTCCCTTAGAGATAGGGTAAAAAGCTCAACCGGATTTTCAAAAGACAAACTATCGAGACATTTGGGAATCTGGGTTCAAAGTTAAAATTTTCCCACGTTTGGCACAATGTTGTTGTTTTTTTGTTTTTTTTTTTCAACACATGAGATGCGAAAGATGGGCTGCATATTTTCATTGGTGGTCGCTGTAAAGAATGTCATGTATCTAATTCCAAATTTGTATGTCTTTATTTGAATCAAAACTTGACAGAAATTTGAATGGGGGACAAGCATAGAATAACAATGTTCTAAGAAGGTCCCATTTGGCCATCTGGCACGGCAAGCCATTTCTGCCCGATTCCAGCAGGTCTACAACCAACCTAGGAGGCGTGCAAATGAACATGGAACTAGAAAGCACTGAGAGTGTGACAGCATAATGTCAACAAGATATGGTGACAAATTGGAAACACTTGGAGCACACAAAAATTACTCTCCATAAACAATGAATGGGCCTCGAAATGCATGAAAGCTAATGAGACAAGTGAGGATGGATGGGTGGGCAAAGTGGAAGTGGTCTGTTGTGCCACACTGGTGTCACTCCAGTAATCATGCCAGAAATTGGTTTAGCCCTCGCTGTGCACATTTTCACACACATGCACGTTAGCTGTATTTCATTTTGACAGCTGTTTAGCATGTGCAAATAAATATGAACTCGAATAATGTGTAACATTTACAGAATGCCTGAGTGCTTGCTCGTAAATATCTGCTCATTGTCTCCCTCTGAATGTGGGTGGCAGAGATGAAAAGAAACAGACGTGGCATTCACATTCACATTGTGACTGTGGCATGAGTATTTCACCACATGATGGTGGAACGAACGTTTAGCCAACAATGGAGCTCAAATAAGAATACTGCGGTAAGAATGGTTGTTTTGTGGAAACAAAACATTGTCAATACTTCATAAAATCTATTTAGCTGAAGAAAGCGATGCTTAGAAAAATAGTTCTCCAGCACAATAGGCATTAAGAAATAAATAGATGGAATAAGTTAATTAAAATAGAATATTAATAAAATGAATGTTAACATACTTCTCTATCATAATATTTCCAGAATAACAGGCTGATCAAACACCGTTCAATTCCATTTATCAGCATAAATAAAAAATATTAACACACCTCCCATTAAAGACACACACACCAAAAACCTGCTGGTTCTTATATTAGCCAATCGGATTGTAGATTGACCTCCGGAAAGCCATCCCTCAGGCCCTGTAACAAGTGAGTTTATCCGTCCTGTGTTTAGTTCAGCTCCTATTGCGTCTGATTGGTTCAGCTCGACGTGCGGCTGAAGCTTGATTTCATATCAGAGCATGATTTAAAATTCACCTTCAAGGCCTACTTTTCAAGAAAAATTACAAGGCTATTTCAACAAGAACTGCTTTGCAGAGTGGCTTGTTTTCAATCTGGATTTTGGGAGGGGGCGCAATTTTAGAGTACAGTAGTCATGTATGAGTGAACAACGCAGCATACACAGACTTATAGGAGCCTCTGCATTAGCATCTCTGATGAGTAGGATGTTGTTTATTTATTTAAAGTTTTCATTT